AAACCATTTCAGGTGACTACCTCTTGAAGCTCATGGAGAGAATGCCAAGAGTGTGCAAAGCAGTAATCAGAGCAAAGGGTGGCTATTTGAAGAAACTAGAATATAAAACATGTTTTCAGTTATTTCACCTTTTTTTTGTTAAGTACATAACTCCACATGTGTTCATTCATAGTTTTGATGCCTTCAGTGAGAATCTACAATGTAAATAGTCATGAAAATAAAGAAAAAGCATTGAATGAGAAGGTGTGTCCAAACTTTTGGCCTGTACTGTATATATATACATGATGAACACCATGAGCCACAAAGAGCATTACCCCCATGGAGAAGGAAGCTGGAGGCCAAGATCAAGGTGACACAAAGAGAGGTTACTCCCAGAACTACTGAAAGGTGTGGGAAAGAAAGGAACAACAAACTGTCTTTACCTGAGGGACTGGAGACTGCCAAGCAAAGGCTCACAGCTCTAGCTAACTGCCTAAAGAGATACACAAGAGAAGAAGCCAGGAGAATAAATGGGATGTTCTCCACCTAACCATCCAAAGTGTACTCTCAGTGGCAAGGTAACAACACTAGATTAGATCCACCCAGGGCTGAAACTGAATAATACTGGAAGAGCATATGGGAGAAAGAGGCATCACGTAACACCAATGCTAAGTGGCTAGTGTATCTAAGAGCAGACCACAGCAACCTCCCAGAACAAGAGCCAGTTACCATTACAATGGCAGACATCCAAGAAAGAGTATCAGGTATGAAGAGCTGGCCAGCACCGGGCCCTGACATGATCCACACCTACTGACTTAAGAAACTAACTGCACTCCATGAATGCCTGGCAGCACAAATGAACCAGCTGCTGATGGATGGGACTCATCCAGAGTGGTTGACCCAAGGACGGACAGTCCTGATCATGAAGGATCCCCAGAAGGGCGCAGTCCCATCCAACTATGGGCCAATAACCTGCCTCTGTACAACATGGAAGCTCCTGTCAGGCATCATAGCGGCTAAGGCATATGGTCCAATGCATGAGCAAAGCCCAAAAAGGAATCAGTAGTAATGCCAGGGGAGCCAAGCACCAGCTATTGGTCGATAAAGCAGTCACCCAAGACTACAAGACTAAAAACCTGGATGAGCACCAGTTTACTGTTTTTTAAATGAGAATTAAAGGACAAATCTTGATCAAATATTACTCCGAGGTTTCTTACGGTAGTGCTAGAGGCCAGAGCAATGCAATCTAGAGAAACTATGTCATCAGATAAAGAGTCTCTGAGTTGTTTGGGGCCAAGAACAATAACTTCAGTTTTGTCTGAATTTAACATCAGGAAATTGGTGCT